AAGCTCTTATAGCTTAGTAATAGCTTTACTAAACCTTCTAGTAAGGTAAATACTACTATAAGAGAGATAACTCCTTAACTAAAGAGGTTATTTATAAATACTACTAAATAGAGATAACTCCTTAACTAAAGAGGTTATTATAAGAAGTTCTTATAGCTAGAAGTATAAAAAGCTCTACTACTATATATAAAGCTTATATCTTTCCCTTTTCCTCTTCCTTATTAACTTATAATAGATCCTTTATAATATCTATACTATATAAGGAATATAAGAATACTAACTTTATACTAAGTATACTTTTCTTTAAGAAAATAGCTAAAATTATCGCTATATAGTATAATATCTATATATTAAATAAAGTTCTTAAGTTTAGTAAGTATTCTAACTTTAATTAAAAGTAGTTTATTATAGTAGTATTAGATAGAGCCTTTAAGAATACCTCTAAAAAGGACCCTCTTTATACTATAATTAAGGTAATAAACACCCTTAATAGCCTTAGGGTAGAGGCTATATATATCTCTAGCTATTTTAAAGAGTAAGCTTTCTTTATATAAACCTTCTATAATACTAAAGTAGATATAGCCTAAGCCTAAGTATAAGCTTAATAGAGCTTAAATATTAATAAGTATGCCTTATACTAATTATATAGAGAAAGTGTTATTAATAATAATATAGCTGCTTTGAAGGCGTTAGTTAGCCTAATTAAATAAGAAGATAATAATAGTAATAACTTACTTCTAAAGAAGCTATTATAGCAGATAGTAAAGTAGTAATAGGGATAGTGTTTAATAGTAATATAGGTGATATATAAGAGAGAGGATAGGTTAATAGTTTAATAATTTATAGTAATTAAGTAATTAAGTAATTATAAACTATATTATTACTGAAGTGAAGTTAAAAATAGTGAAGTTATGTGTATATATAAGTGCAGCTGAGATTAGGAGAGTTATAATTATGTAACTGAAGGCTGTGTGTATTATTAGGAGGCGTGGAGTTAGGAGGTCTATCGCTCTAAGCAGGTAAAAATCATAGTAAACAGCTAGAGGCTGTAGTAAATATTATAATAGTTATAAATATCTCCTAAAGTATATTATTCCTTAAATAACTACACTTTAGTAAGTTTATATAGAAAGCAAAATCTACTAAGTAATAGTTTCTTTTATTATATAATTCTAACTTAAAGGTCTCTTAAAGCTAACTTCTCTTTAATTATTAAGTTAGTATAATACTAATTTAATATATAGTAAAATAATATCTAATAGAGGTTTAAAGCTATAGTAGCTATATTATTATTATTAGATTTAATATAACTATTAATAATATTAATAAAGTAATATATATTTTAGTAAACTATCTTAGAACTTCTATTAATATAGATATTATCTACTTTATTATTATATAGAAGTAAATTAAATAAGCTAATTATATCTATTTTAAATTATAATAATAAATATCTTATATTATCTATAAAAGAGCTAGATAATATATAGATAATATAGTCTCTATCTAAAGTAATAAATATAGATAGAAAGTTATAATTAATAGATATTCTATTATTAAACTATCTTAGCTTAATAAGCTTCTATTAAGCTTTAGAAGAGTAATAATTTAGTTAGTTTTTATTATTTCTTCTTTTACTATAATCCTTATCTTTATAGTTCTTCTTATTATTAAGATTACTTCTATTATTATTATTACTTAGATCTCTTTATAGAGTAGAAACTTATTCTATATCCTTAATTTACTTTTAGATATTATTATTAAATATAAACTCTTTTTTTTTTAGTATAGTTAATAAAGTAAGCTAAAGTTTAAGATAAATAAGCTAATACTATCTTTAACTATAATAACTTTATATATTATTAGATTCTAATATATTATTTTAGCTTTAATTAAAAAGAAGTTTAGTTATATAATAAATAATATCTACTATTATAATAGTTAATTATTCTAATAATATAATTAAGGTCTTAATAGTTAAGTTAAGTGTTAATAGTTAATTACTTAATATTTCTAACTTTAGAAGTAAGGATCTTAAAATACTTAAGAATCTTTATCTAAAGTTAATATATTCTTCTAAAGTTAATAGAACTACTATTAATTCTTAATTTTAAGATAAAATATTAACTAAATATTAAGGTTTTAAGCTTTTTAGTTTCTCTATATAGCTAATATTTAAGGTTTTATAACCCTCTATCTTTCTATTATTACTAAAAAGTAAAGTAAAGTTAAGTTCTTATTTTAAGGCGTTTTTAATCTTAATATATCTTATATAATATAATATATTAAGATAATATTATTATTTAACTAAGTTAGTAAATATATTAGGATTATCCCTCTAAGTTTTTAATACTTAGTTTTTAAGTCTTATAGCGTTAATATAAGCTTCTCTTTTTAAGTTTATAGTTTAAATTTATCTATAGTAGTTTATTATATAATATTTAAATCTTTTATAAGCTATAGCTAAAATTATAGCTTATATATTAAAGTTAAGTAGTAAATATTTAGTTAGAATAAGTATTCTATAAAACTTCTCTAAATAGTTTTTATAAATAACTTAGAAGTTAGTAATTATTATATAACTAATAAGCTTAAGTAATTTAACTTTAAGGTTTTTTACTACTTTAAGATTAGTTAATATTATTTAAAATATAATAGTGAGGTTTTATATCTTTTTAGGATATTCCTAGTTAGAGAAAGAGTTTAATATAATATTATTATTATTTAAGCTTTATAAGATTAGCTATACGCTAGAACTTAATTATTAAACTTAATAAAGTTAACTATTAATATAAGGTTAGCTATTTTCCTTAATTTAAGGGAGGTAAGTAACTATTAAGGTTATACTACTAATTAATATATATTATATTAGTAATATAGTTATAGTAATATATATATTATAAAAGTTAACTATATTTAAGGCTTTAGGCGTATTAAATACCCTAAAAGCTTTAAAGGCTTTTGCTACGTTTAACACGCTAACTATGTTAATTATATTAAGCGTAGTTAGGGCGCCTATCATGCTGAAGGCAGTGAACGCCTTCACTACGTTACATATTAATTAAGCTATAAATAATTTAGATTTATAATAAAATTAGTTCTTTATTATTTATATTATCCTCTTTTTTAAATATATTATAAAATAATATAAATATATTATTAATACTATAATAAGAAACTATAAATATATTATTTATAAATTAAATAATTTAATAAGAAGTTAAGTTAATTAAAGTTAAGTTTAATTAAAATAATAATATTAATAAAAATAGAGTATTTTAAAACTAAATTATATATAGTAGATCTTTTTTTTATTCCTTTTATATTATTATTACTTTTTAATAAAAAAATACTTTTAGAGCTTTTTATAATAATAGAAGGATTATAAATATATATTTTCTTTATAATATAAACTTAGCTATTATTAAATTATTAGTTTTAAATTTAGTTTTAATAATAATAACCTCTTTAGTAGTTTCTTTAGTAGCTTTTTTAGTAATAATAACTTAATAAGCTTTTTTAATAAGTATAATAATCTTAATTAATAGTAAAGTAAAGTATTAAAGAAGATCTCTAGTAGTATCTTATACTAGTTATTATATATATTATTATTTCTATATATTATTAATAATAAGTAATAAATAATACTTAGAAAAGTTATTATTTATTTATTAAGCTATATAATAATATTTAAGAGGTATTATAATACCTTTAAATAATAAGATTTAATAGAAATAGATTAATTAAAGCTATTAGAATAAGTTAATTATTATAATATAAATATCTATATAGCGTTAAGTAAATTTTATATATATATAGGGATTATATATATATAATTTCAGTAAAAAGGGGGGGCGGACGCTATCAACGCAACGGAGTGTAACATCGGTAATGCTCAGCTATTTTCCATGGTTACACTGTCCACATTAAGAATACAGTTAAAAATGTGTTATAAGACTAGCCGATTGCTATTGGGCTGTCGTGGCCTAAAAGGGAAGGGCCGGGTATATGTACATTCAATGATGGTTTGTGATGAGACAATAGGCTCCCCATTGTAAATGTTGGCATCACAAGCCACTATATGTAACTTTCCATAGCTCATAACTACTTGATCGCTGGCCCACCGGCCTATCGTTATGGTGATGTCCTGTGGACTTGACGTTACACATCAAGTATCATGTAATCGGGTGATTTTGAACAACCTTTGGAGTAATATCATCCGCGATTTAAGCGAGTCGTGGTCGTGTTACGATCCCGCGGAGTGTGACCAAGCGCATTGAGTGAGCGTCCGTTATTTCCGTGTAGCCTAGCTGGGGCACGCGCAATCTCCAGAATCGGTGCAATTAAGAACTAATCATAGCCGGTTCCGCAGTTTCAAAAGCTAAGTAGGAAATTTCTTTCCTCCAGTCTCACCTATTGCACAAACATGCCCTTTACCCAGCACCGCCGTTCGATATCTGTGACGAAGTTCTGGAGTGATATAGGATGTTTCATAGACGGGCGGCTGTTTTGTCGGCTCTCGAATTGTGTTTTGAACAGCGTCACCATCGGGCACCGCGAGAAGCTCAGCGGTCACTAATAACGTCACAGCTTGCAGAAAGAGGTAACAGTCTCACTCTGTACCGCAACACAGACGTTACTATAGTCATGAGACCAAAGTGTAAGCGGCATGAGGGTTGACATGATTTGGCCGTATTCTTGTCAAATTCTAATATGAATATATAAGAGCTGAAATTCTCGTCCATCGTCACTGCCTTTCGTGTAATTCAGAGACCAGCCTTCTCAGTTTACTCAGCCCAAACCACCTTCGATTCCAATCACCAAATGAAGAAAATTGCTTTTATCATGATATTCTGTGGTGTTGGTTCCGCAGCACCTGCAAACGAGCAGCGTCAAGCTTCAACATTCTACAAAATTGACGACTTCTATGCTGGGTCAGGGCCGAATCTTCATCTACAAGCTACAGCTTCGAAGTCGGCATCGTTACCGAAAGCGGCGCCATGATCAACCAAGCGTCTTGCAGGTCCAGCAGTGGCGACAACTACCACAGCCCTTCGATTCCGCCTACTTGGACGGAATGGTGCACCGATAGCTACTACAACTTCACTTCTGTCTCGGGAAGAGACCACGACTCGCATGGATACCATCTCAACCTCACGGACTCACTCGGCGGGCGCGGGACTCAGTTCTATCCGCGGTCACTGGTCTATCGCGTGCAGAATAATGCGAACCCCGACGACCCCGACCCGTTCCCCAACTATGCGCTCCGTGCCACGAATGCGAGTTATGCTCCACGGTGCACGCACTCTGCTGCATCTTCTTAGGCTGTGACATCACAGAACGATCTGAGAGTTGCGATACGCGGTGGAATACCTGGTGGAAAGTCTCGGGCTTTGGGGTACTTATGTTATGAACTTGTCATAAGAGACATTTTATGAAAGCTTCCCCTTCACGAAGCCAATGAAAAATTAAGAAAACCAGATCTTCCAAATTACTATCTACTCTCTAGAAGGCCATATGTACAGGTATTGTCAATATGATACATGGCATTTCACACCCCAGCTCAATCATACCACATTCATGGTCATGACCCATCAACTTCCTTTGCTCTAACATGTGCCTTAGAAGACTTAAGCATCGGTCAGGACGACATAGAAGCCGAGAGGGCAGCCGTCGTTGCTCTGTTGGAAAGAGAAGACGGTATCGGGAGAGCAAAGGCTACCAGAGACAGTAACAGTTCCGGGAACGTTGGCGGGAATGCCACAAGGGGCGCTGTTGACGATCTGAGATTCTGATGTTAGCTTATGAGCCATGTCGGACGACGATGCAGGACTTACGTAGCTGTGACCGGGAGTCATGGTGGGGGGAGGGTTGGGAGGGCTCGGGCCAGGCGCAGGCTGCTTGTTGTAGGAAGTGACTCCGGCCACGGCACCGGCGCCGATAGCGTATCCAGTGAACTGGAATGTACCCGGGCCGTGGAAGAGGTACTTTCCGAGAGCCTGCTGGTCATATGAGGGAAAGTCGAAAACGAGGTTGCAGACCTTGCCCTGGGTCTGAGCAACAGGCAAGTCGAGGTTGAAGACGGTGCAGACGTCGTTGGGGGTCACAATCGCCATCTTGGTGGCGGGGAAGGCAACGCTGGGCAGGTTCTTGGAGATGGGAACCAGCAGGCTGGTGTTCACGTAGGACTTGCCGAGGGTGCCATCGGGCTGGGCGGTGTTGGTCGGGCAAGTCTTGCCTCTCTTGCTTCCGTAGCTGTCAGCGCTGGGGGCAGCAGCCGCAGAGAGGGCGAAGGCCAGGGCGGTGGTGATGGTAGAAGTCTTCATGTTGAAGTTGGGGTTGAGCTGCCGGGCTAGAATAAGAGCCTTGAGACCTGAGGCTGATGTATGAATATGTAAGATCGGAGAAGAGAAGTTGAAGAAGTGTGTTGCTGTAGATGAGATTGGAGACGGATAGGAGGTTCCTGTCTCTTTATAGATAGTTGTTGTTGTGAGGTTCTATTGCAGCCTAGATGTGCAGCTCAGATGCGGCCTCGGATTATAGCTACTGCAGCTTATTGCCGAACAGGATGGCAGATTCTCTTGCGGCTGAGAGAGTTGCGTGTTGAGCTTTCTCCGGAGGACGCATCGCTTTGAATAAAAAGGCTCCCAACCCCACGGTAACGGTTGCTGTGTCCCAGCGTTGACGCGGCAGATGACTTCGTTCTAGAGCGAAGGAGCAGCGCTCCGACTACGCAAACTGGTTAAACGAAAAATATTAGTCCATGCACGTTGGTGGTAGTTGCCGCGCTCTGGCAATTTCGGGGAAGTTTTCGCTCGATGCGGTCAGATTTTAGACCTGGGGTCGCGGGTCTTCGCCCTAGCCCGCAAAATCAAGCGTCGGCCGGCATATTCAGCTTGATGTCAGCTCGACGACCAAGCGCGAAAAACGTGGCGCACAACGGTGCCAATAGTCAGGCACCAGACCAGAAGCAAAAAAGAAAAATGGCGCGGAGATCCTCGTATGCCAACGCTGTGACTCGGAGCCGATTGCCGGTTGGTTTTGGTTCCCTTTCGGCCTGCGCAGTTGCAAACTCAACAAATGTTGATAATGCGAGGGCGAAGGGAGCCCGATGAGAATCAACAGCCGCAACGGACTACCCCAACTCTTGGTTGCATGTATTGCTTCAAGGATGAGTTTGTGAGCAATTCGTACCCTTGCTGCATTTTCTTGACGTTGACGAATCCCATCCTGCGTTCCTGCGTCCCCGGCGCGGGGATTTCAATGTTGTGTAGCATAGACGCAACGCAGATGTAGGTAAGCGGCTTATGTGAGTTACCTAAAGAAATACGAAGTATCTCTCATCTTCACTAAAATGGCTTGCCGTTCGGTGAGTAAGATGCGCGAAACCGTTGCGAATCGCTACATGTTACTATCTGGTTGGCTGGCAGTCTAAATGTTGGTGCCGATCAAATGCAGTGCTGATCGTAATCCAGGGATTTAGACATCCATAGATGCCTTTGACGTCCGGCACTATGCTCTCTAGCGCCGCTTATCATTCAGGGTCGCGAATCGCGATGAACCAGGCAGACTACAAAGAAAGACGCTTTTCACCTCCAATCGGGACAACGATTTTCACCACGCTAAATGTCACTTCAGGTGTCCTGAGGGGATGTCTTAGTAGACATCTGATTAACACTGACGTGGGTGCTTTTTGCAGTGATGCCGCCTTGGCGCCAACTCTCTCACTGGCACTAAAGAATCTGATTGAGCATCCCCAGAAAAAGCGCCTGCAATTGCGGATACTTGCTTCAAGTTGGTATATGATACATACATTCGCGGATAGTTTCAGCGCTACGGGTGTCTTGAACAAGATGTGACCTCAACTGGCTAATGCCGGCCGCCCGGTCCGTCAAATCAGTGCCGCCCACGGCGACCAAGGACCCACTCGGCTTCCGGGAAGAGTCGAGGGCCCGGGCAGTACAGCGGAGAGTGTCTCGACAAATTCTATCAATCAACACGAAGGTTCGAGCTTAACATGCTGCAAATTCTGCATTTATAATCAAGTCTCAGCGTAGGTAATCTTTTCACAAGACAACCCTCCAAACATCGATGGCTAAGGTACCGTCACAGGCCTCGCAACATCAAGCTGAGGTCTGAACCACCCTCAATCTTCCCAGCACTAGCCTTGAGCTCCTCCACATCCCAGTTGGCGAAGACAAATCTCCCATTCAGGAAAGCCGCTTCTTGGCTGGTGGCCCAGACGAGAAAGTCTGCGGGAAGAGAGACTAAAACGTGTCAGCAATTGGAAGCTCGTTTAAGTCAGTCGGTACGCACTGTCGTCATATGGAAATTTGAGTCCCGCCTTCTCAAGCTCTTCAGCCATCGGAGTCTGGATGAGACCTGGGTGCACCGAAATGACCCGCAACTTGTCCTTGTTCTCCGAAGCAACGTACTCTGCTAGCTTCAAAGAGGACATCTTGCTTGCCACATACCCGCCCATGCCCGGTAGCGGAGGCATGATGCTTCCGGCAGTGTTGAGGACGATAAGGACTGGTAGAGATGGACCTTTTTGGTCCGAGGTAGTAGCAGCCAACATAGCTTGGGCCAAGGTCAGGAAGCCTTTTATGTTTACTTCGAATGCCTTCCAGAGCTCGTGGAGGGGCGCGGTTGCTAGAGGGCCCAGGGGCGGGAGGGCTCCAGCTGCGTGTATGACGATGTCGATACGTCCGAACTTGGAGAATATCTGGTTGAAAGTAGACTTCACAGCCTGTTCGTCGCAGACATCGACAGCAAAGCAGGCTGTCCCCGTGTTGAGGCCTTTCTAATGAATTGACTTTGCAACCTGCTCAAGTAACTCCACTCGACGGCCGAGGAGAATCAAGGCTTTTGCTCCGGCTGTGGCGAAGGAAAACAAAGCGGCGTTTCCAATTCCAGATCCGGCTCCAGTTATGAGGACGACTTTGCCGGCGGCGGAGATCGACGGATTCGTAGCAGAAATTGCCTCGTAGCTTGCGCTGTGGGTAGTGGGAGTGTAAGACATATCTAATTATGGTACTGATTGATGATGGCAAGTGTGATTTGATCTGGTTAGATTCATTCTACCAGATTCTTGGGAGACGGTAGCTGGATCTTTATAGGAACATAGGTAGACCGATAAGTTTCTGGTTTGCACGCAAAGCCATGGATTTCACGATTGGTCTTCATTCGAGTTTCAGCTCATGAAGGACTCCAGGTGGAGTGACAGTATCCTCATTGCAGCAGATGGAGGCAGATTGTTATCATAAGCGCGCGGGAAGGAATTGATGTGCGCTGTATTTGTAATCGTTTTCAGCTGTTCATACAAACGGGCAGTGATGCTGATTTGCAATCGTCGAAGATTCACGGACTTAGTGTTTCCTAATACGGCATTTCCTGAAAGAGTAGAATTACGTCCGTTTCTATTGAGTGGGCCACTGCACTGATCACCGCTGCCGACAGCGCCGAATATCCTCAGTTGCATGTAATCCCCGTTGAGATTCTTCGCAGATTCTTGCTTTTCTGGTTAATGATGCCCGAAAAAAACAATTTGCATAGTCTTGTCAAGTTTAGCGGTGCAAGCTCCCGGCTCTCTGTCTCGGCACCCCATGCTTGCTCTCGCTGACACGTCTTTCCAAGCCCCATTCCTCCTCCCGAGAACCTTCAGGGAGGCCAGGCTTGCCACCTAAACTCGCCAGCACCATCTTATTTGTTGCTGTGAAATCATCCAGTATCTGCAACTCTTTCTGGGTGAACCATCTCGGCACTAACACAACTCTCATGGGGATGAGCAGGATGATCAGAACCGGGAAGCCTATTGCTGCAAGGGTGTGCGAGATAGCTACACACGCCGCAACATCCGCGAATTGTAGGATAATGTAAAGCCAAATCTTGCGACGGCGCACTTGTAGCAACAGCTCGTCGCGTTGAATGAACCGTTTCTCGGAGTGGAGGAACACGAACTTCTGCAAGATGGAGTTTGACTCAATTGATCCCCACTGACACTCGTTAGTTTTCACCCAAAGACGTTGAACGCTACCATGAACTTACTCCGACCACGAAAAATACACCAGCAAATACCGCGGCCGGCATTGTGTGAAGAACGACAAGAAGAGGCCCGCTCATCGTTCCAATCAGGGCAAGCCCCATCAACAGGTGCGACAGTCGCTGCTCGACGACATGAGTTGCGCTGACAATTGGACGGCGGATCTCAGTGTCCTCCCCCTCTGATGTTGGGATGATCTTAAGGCTTGTCTTGTGGACTGTCAATGAGTCTGTGTGAACTGGAGCTTGGGGAACAAGGCCATTCGGCATCGGGAGCCCAAGGATGCCTGCGACGAAAGTGGTGCACCCGAGAAGGAAGAAATCCCAATGAAACCCGCCAGGTTTCTGAAGTGGGTATTGGCGAGCTTGCGCTGTAATACTGCTGACATTCTATGAAGTGGTTAGTATGAGTTCTTCGACATCCTGGGTTGCAACTTACATGGTCGTAGTAGAAGAGCAACATGGTCAGGAAACCAAAAGGCATGGCAACAAACACCCACTTAACATCGAGACTCCAGAAGTCTATAAGCCAGTTTCGGGGCTGTGTGGGATGGAACGCTGTCTCTATGGGAACTCTCATAATGTGTGCGTCCTTCAAAGGTCCTGGAATGTGGGAGAATCCGACCCAGAAAACCGTAGCAAACTATGGGAATGGACGTTAGGCAATCATTCAAGTATGTAAAAGATGATTTGAAGACGGCTTACGACATAGGCATAGTCTGCAAGAATGCCTCGAAAACCCGCTCTCCAAAGAGTGCTAGAGCCCAGCTTTTCTAGCGCGTAGACCGTTCCAAAATAGAGTATGGCAATCAAGCAGGCCAAGTACCCAGCAGTACTGCCCTCAGTAGTGAATTCATTGACTAGTTCCTCGACTCCTTTGACTACAATGATGTCAATAAACGGTGCCAAGCATAGCAAGGGTGATGACTCACTGATATAGATGATTCCCACGTACAAGCCAAAGGATTCGCTAGAAAAGTCCGTCACGTAGCGCATGTAGTCGCATCCGTTGAAGAGTGCAACTAGCCAGTGGAAGATTGCAGCCCAAATTCCTGTCCAAGCCATGAATTGTGGGTAGATAGAAACGTCATAAATCTTGATGATGTTGTAGATCGTGAAGTTGAAGAGAGAGATCAGGCCGGAGACGCCAACTATCGTCAGGGGCTGGGCGCTGAGTGTGCTAAAGACGACGGCGGCAAGTGCTGAGGAGAAGAGCGCTTCGTTGACACCGAAGAATTCGCCAGTTCTTCGATACATGTCGAGGGTGTATGCAATCGCTGGAAGCAGGCTAGACCGGTTAGCTATGTTTCGATATAGGCACAGTTGGAAAGCGTCATCTTACTTGACAAAGTACATCCGGATTGTACTTGCGACTGTGCGATATGTCCATGCGTCGGCGATATCGCTCCAGTAGTATGGAAACCTTCGCTTGATATCATGGTAGATACCCCGTCCGGGACGAAGCACCCTCCAGCGTCGCCATCCCTTCTCATCCTCATAGGAGTAGGACATCTTCGTCTCAACTGGCCGCAATTGCGTATCGCTGGAGCTGCTGGACTCTGGCTCTGTTGCCATTATGACCTGTGGCAGAGTAGTGGGATGGATGGGAGAATGTAAGAGCGCCAAGCGTTAGGGGTGCAAAAGAAATAGGATTAAGGGACGCTGCGGCCTCAATGAGAAGTCCTGGATGGTTGGATCTTAGACAGCCGCCTCGTTCGTATGAGACAGGAAGCTTGTATTATACAGGATGCAAGAGTCAGGCACAGGCCAGAGATCTTCCTAAAGAAAACATGACTGCAGGGGCAAAGGGTGCGCCGCCGTCTGCCTAGGGTAGGAGCGGTACTAGAATCGTTGCCCGGCGTGACGTCACAGGATCAAATGTTTCGGCTCCATTCGCAGCCTCCGGTATGGGGACTGCCATTGCTTTCGGTATGTCTACCGCCCTGACAAGATATCTGGCTGAACATGCGAAAGCTGATACTCCAGGAACGGCCGACTATCTATGAGAACCATCTCCATCATCTATCTACATGGCTGTTATTGAGCCTCCTCGTTCCTCTGCGATCACACTATATGTTGCTAGTCTTCTTCGCTGTAGATGAGATCCGAAAATGCCCGTTCCCTTCAGATCACGCATCATTTGGCGCACTCTGCCAAGGGGTGACAGTGCCAAGACTCAGCAGGTCTCTGGACGGGCAGAACCCAGCCAGTCCCGAAGGAGAATTGGGGGGAATGTACGATTTCGTCCGTATTTGCGGCACTAGCGCTGGACTAATCTTCAGTTTTCTGCCCGGGCAGCATAGACTTAAACGAACCACAGTGGCACCGTGGCAGGTCCCGTCATTCCCTGGCCACCGTGCCCCCAAACCCGCTCACGTAGCGTTGAGCACATCGCTCCAGAGATTTTTCCATTGCACTTGGTGCAGACGAATGATACGATGGGAACTATGTGACTATGATGCTTCATTCGGCCGCAAATCGGAGTACCTTTGCCGACACAGCTGTCTCCTCACCGTTGCCAGTCAAGAAACAAGAGGTAAACCGGCGTCTGTTGAGTCGCTCATAACTTTTATTAGGGGAAGTAAAAGACATTGCAACATTTCAGCAGCTGCGAGATACGTGCTACTCTGAATGGAGAACATTCTATTTCGTCGACACACTCAAGCGATCAGGCAATTGTGATTGATGTGACATTCGCCTCCTGTTCCAACTCAACATAAATATCTCGGCACAATACTTTAATTCAAGATTGCTTGCGACGAACGCTTGGCTTCCGCATATGTGGCAGACCTTCATTCCACTTTCGTATCTCCGAACTGTCGTTCAGTGGCGCCGAGATGAGAGTCGACTTGGGTGTTAAGTTTCCCCCCGGACGAGGCTGGTTCCATCCTGGAGAAGAGGTGGAGGGAACGATCGATGTTCATGTGCAAGACTCGGTGGCTATTGTCTCTATCATGGTCTCACTTCAAGGTATTCAGTGATATGATTGATGCCGGTGGCTCCAGCTGCTAATGGAGATGGCTCTAGGCAGGCTAGACATCAGATGCGCCGCTGTATTGACACCAGATTCCTCCGCCAAGATGCCGCAATCGAATACGACACAACAGTCACGCAAGGCAAGTATTCTGAAGCACACAGCGCATGGGCTCGCCGCCTGACAATTGGTGGGAGCAGATTTTCAAGCGGTCGTCACAGATCGCCCAGGCCGCGGGAACTCTCAAGGAGGGGAAGCATTGCTTCCCCCTGTCACTTTGTTTTCCGCATTCCACAGCTGACCCCCACTGCGAGACCATTTGCCTCCCACCGTCGACAGGGATCAACACTGCCGGCCTGAAAGTTACCGTCGCCTACGTGTTGAAAGTGAAAATTCAACGACAAGGGATTCTTCGTTTCAACACTGTCAAGAAGACAGAACTACTCTTCCGGCCCCTGCCTCAATTTCGAGTTATTTCGCCGACCATCGGTGATTGCTCGTCCACTTCTTCCATCGCAGCCGAGGAACTGGAATCTCCGCAGCCGCTGGCGCAGGTCGGGAGTACCCTGCCGGCATACAGCCCTTCCCTGCAGCTGAAGATGACCATTCCGGCGCCGCCGGTGCTAAACCCCCATAAGCCTCTAGCGTTGGCTATGGAGGTTTGCGTTCAACCTGACTTGATGCAGAGGCTGGGGCCAATCTCACTACGGAATCTGGTGCTGCGCCTTCGCACCACTACGGCAGTATGTGTGGGCCAGAGCTCGCGAGAGGACGTCAAGTATGATCCCATTTGCGGTATTGTGGGCGATATACCGATTGCTCCTGCGGAAGGGCAAAATGGCTTTTCGCTTGACCCCGGCATTTGGAAAAGCCACGTCGTCCCACTCGTTTCACCAACCTTTGGATCTTCCGTGCTTTCAATCAGGCATGCTTTGGAGGTTATCTGTGGGTTTTCCACAGGTACACACAAGAGGATTCAGGTATGTCGTCAAAGCGAAAAAGACATAGACATGAACTGACTGTGAAGGTACAAGTGCTTGCGAACGGGCGTTGAGGTAATTATCGCGGATGCAGAGTTCAACGACCCCCCGCCGGCTTATGCCATGATCAATGGTATTGAGGAACTGGCCTGCTCCTCCAGTGACGACTTGTAAAATTGAATTTTCAATCTAGTTCATACTTTAGCTGAAATATCAACAAAAGCCATTCTTCGCGATCATCAATGTTCCCACCCTTCCGACGGAATTACACACTTGTCCCAAGTGAAGAATGCTTGGCGAAAGGTAATGTTTTGGTCTACAGTGATCAACTTCTTAATCTTTCTATATTCCATCATGGAGGCACCCTTTGTGCACCATGAACTCTTAAGGGCTTTTGACAGCTCTCTTGCGCCAAAAGTCTGCAACCTCGTAGTCGAGCTTTCTCTGCGTAGGCCCGGCAGCCCAACCACTTGTCCTCAACTCGGCGACCCGGAGCCAGGGAGGCATGGCCTCTTCCCGATTGCCAACCCCGGCGAAGTGAACAAGGAAATCTCCCGGCCTTGCATGATACGCCTCCAGTTTGACCTGCTCATCCGCTGTGAAGTCCCTCTGTGGACCAGGGTAAGCATTGAACCACCACTGAGGTACCCACGTCACATTGTGTCGAAACTTTTCTTCTTGAAGGAGGAGCTCCATGGCACTTTGCTCCGTAAACTTCAGCTCCACGTCCGGCTTGTAGTGTCGGTAAGACAAGATCGAGTCGAAGAGGTCAACGCTCCACCTGTTGACCCTCACTAGGAATACCCCGTTATTCAAACCGTTCCAGTCCGTCGTCGCAAGGAGGTGAATGTTGCCTTTGGGGAACTTGTCTCGCTTGGTGATGTATGCCGGGTCGGGTCCGTTCGCGGCCCATCCAGGAGCAGGGGGCAGGAAGCTTGCTGGAGACCGGCAGTTGTCCAGGACGATGGTGTCGCGGTCGACCCACATCAACCATTCCAGTCTCTCTTCTTTGGGTTTCGCGAGCTCGTCGAGAAGGATCGAAAGAATGAAGGCAGGTTTGTTCCATAGATCGTCGACGATGTTTTCGCAGAGGACATGAACATCGGTGCCGTGGATTATGCTGTGGACCAGATGGGTCCGCAAGGCTCGTTGATAGTGGTGCTGGGGCTCGCCGAATTGAGCGGTGACTGTTGCAATTCGTGGATTCTCACGATCCATCTCTGCAGAGTTGTTCTTGCAGTATTGAATGCTTGTTGACACGTCCTCGGACAGAGAATCATGAATGAATGGGAAACAGTCGTCGTCTCCATGGCAGTGTAAGTGAGAATGTGAAGGCTCCGTCCTACGACGAGGCAGTCGGGTGAGGTAAGGATAGTACATGCAAAACAACTGTATTATTGCAATCAGCTGAAAGATAATGAACAAAGCCTTTACTGACGGGAAGGCTGTTGGGAATTTCATGATTCGGGTGTTGAAGATCGATAGCAGTGAGATTGGACGAATGTTGGCATAGGCTTCAGCAGAGGTTATGGAAAGTAATGGCACTTTAACCGAATGTTCCACGCCTCTTCCTCATTTACATTGCGTATGTTGTGACAAGGTTTCAAGACATTGCTTGGCAAGTCTGCATCAATGTCGCCCTGCTACTGCTCTTGGCCCTTGGCACTGCATTGGCATCTATGAATACGACAAGCTTCCACCGCGGCAGGACGTCGAAGCGGCTCATGCCGAGGCTGAGCAGCACATAGAATTCTGCCCTGGCAGTTATTTCATTCTTGGCTCTACCCCTAATGAAGGCAATCGTCTTTGAGGAATCGTTCCGACATATGGAAAGCCGACTCAAGAAAACAGCGGTACAGATTCGCCGTGATCCACTGGAAGAAATGCATTTGGAATTTAGACCAGAGTGTTGTGCTTGAAGATGAGCAGTGATTTGAACTCACTCACCTCTTCAGCTGGACTTAGGCAACTGCAATGAGAAAATCACCAAAGTAGGCCTGAATGCAACAAGCGACAGATGATTTCTTTCCAACCTTATGCCCACATTAAATGACCGCCACGCTACGTTTGTCACTAGGTATACATGTCATATGGACCCACCGTGACACATCGCGCAGAATCATCGTTTCATCTACTTAGCTTGAGACTTTACAATAGAAACCACCATCAATGAGTCTCGTCTATTTGCTCACATATAAGTCTCAGCTTGCCATTCTCCGAATTTGAGTATGGGATGCCGGCCAGCAGGGTGGTCAGCACAGAACACAGCGAAGAGCCTTGCTACTTTCTATGACGATCTTAACATGCAACGCTTTCACCAACGCAAACGTAATATTGCTGCTGCTAGGTGTGTTGCCAGAAGAGTACACTTTCCTCCACCAGGTTTATGATTCCAACTCCGCTAACCGAGTCTAATGATAGGTGTCAAACAACTTGCGAATAGCAAGGTATTGGAAAGTCTAATCATCGACGTTGTTACGCCGATCCAAAGGTAAGTTTATCGAAGCTCTAGACACGTGTCGCCTTACTGATTGTCCAACCAATCTAAATCAGGAAATGCTGCACCGTCTTCGTGATGTATATTTCCGACATTGCTGGCGCTTTTGCTAAGCCTTTTTCGGATTTGATGCCGTGGATGTTAGACTCTGGACAAAGAACAGGCAGCAGTTTTGGAGGAGATTGCTTGGCTACAAGGCAGACTCAGACGCCCTCCAATAAAACCGGCGATTCTGAGACATGAGGCATTTTGATAGACGAGAAAGTATTGCCAAGGGTTGCCTCAGGCGAAATCAGAGACAGATTCATTCTCTGTGTATCCATGAATGTCAGCTGCCACTGTTTTCATTACATCTAAAGGAAAGGGTGCCCCCTTTTTTATGAAGAGCCTGCGAAGCAAACTTACGTTTCTCCGAATCTGACTTCTTACAAATTCAATTCAGTCGTCTATAATCACTTGAAACTTGTTTGACGACTGTTAGTTCCAATATACCGACCTCCCCACCGTAACTTTGCCTCCCACTGCCTGTTCTCCGCGATGGCTCGCCCATTTTGGTTCCAGCTTTCTCCGAAGCACAGAAAGCCACGCCTTCCGAACCTTCCAGAATGGGCTCGACTACCAAGCGGATGGCGAAAATCAGCAGTTATCAATATCGGCCTTATGTCAGTCGCAATGGTGGTTCTTATCGCCTTTCTGGCTGTTGCGATATCCGAGACTGGCGATATCAAGCAGGCCTGGAAATTCTACGAGAGCGATTGTAGACACGATAACACGAAGAATATGAATACTCTACTGCATTTACTCATCAATGCGCTCTCGACTGTTGTACTCGCGTCTTCAAACTTCTTCATGCAGGTTTTGAATGCACCTTCGAGACGAGAGGTGGATGCAGTACACGCTCGAGGAAAATGGCTTGATATCGGTATTCCCTCGTGGAGAAATGCTTTCTATCTATCTCGATTCAAGCTGGCTGCATGGATTAGCTTATGTTTAACATCAATCCCCATTCATATGTTATTCAACAGCTCAGTATTTCAGATGACCAGTCGATTTGGGGACTTCGGACTCTATGTCGCCAGCGAGTCTTTCCTAAAGGGGGAGCCATACATCTTCCCGGGAGCCAGTTTGTACATCAATAATGGCTTGCAGTTTGAGGACCTCAAAACCGAACGATCTTCAGCAGTACGAAGCAACATCTCAACAACAGCAGCTAAGGTCTCCAAATGGGAGCGGCTGAGCGCAATCCAATGTCAAAACATATATCGTCCCAACCTTTGCACTGGCTTGAAAGACTATCACAACGTCGTATTGATAGTTGATGGCCCGGGCTGGACGCGAGATGATCTTTGGAACCTTTCGACGGTCGCTGACCGGCTCTGGGAACCGATTGTCCCACGATACGAATTAAACTCTCTGTTAATGGAAGATCAATGCAACATGTCAGGAAACACGAGGAGCGGTGTTCCAGGGTGCAATGTGGACTGTTACCAATTGTGGAAACGTGATGGAGGAAGCCGCAGCGCATCCTGGTCTTGGTTGGGCTTACAACCAGAAATTCCGTGGTTGATTCACGTCGAGTCTCCGCATATGTCGCTGAACAGAACATTGTACTCGGCTACCGAAGGAGAGGATTATGAATTTGGAGCCCGATTCACTTCGTTCGAAGTGTCGTACTGCATGGCAGAGCCGTCAATGTCTACTTGCTCAGTAGCCTTGTCAAAGCCCCTCATGCTTGCTGTAGTATTGTCAGTGTTGTTGAAATTGGTTACTTGTGTTGTTGTTGTTTGGGTTATCGGTCCCCAAGAGCCGCTCGTTACCCCTGGAGACGCTGTCATGTCGTTTATCTCCATCGAGGATAGAGGATCATTCTCCGGAGTTGTGACACAAGATATGGTTCGGCGAAGGAAGAGACAATCCAATACGAACAGCGACGTATACACGTTTGAATCAATTGAGCCCCGGCATTGGGCCAAAAGACAACAACTCAGAGCAATGGCTATTCCCCGGGGAGTCTGGGTAAGAACCTGTGGCATATTGCTGATCGGAATAATTGCAGCAGCAGTCTGTCTCTGGCAACAGCTTTCGAATGGGACATCCTTGTAAGCAACCTTGACTCGCATCTGAAGTTCTGAAGTCTACTAACCTCTCGAAGGCGAGGCATAAAGCTGAATGTGGATGAGGCAAGCAGCTTTCTCTATCCCGTCATGGGACCATCTCCTTTTCTCTCTTCGGTGATCATCGCAAATATTCCGCAACTTTTTCTTTCCTTTTGGTATCTCGCGTATAATTCTTTAATCACCCGACTGGAAATGAGCCAGGAATGGGCATTACTTTCTGTTGACTATCAACCACTACGCGTCACCCAGCCCAAGTAGGTCATCTCTTCAGTTTTATTCCAATTGGTATGGTTGAAGAGTGCTGTGTAGCGATCGCCTACACCAGCTATGGAATAGGGCTCCAGAATATCTCTCTCCTTGCGTTTACCACCATACTTCTACCACTCATGGAGCTAACTCTAAATTTCCAGGGGCCTCCAAACTTCCACGTATCGTCTGCAGTTGCCATATAAATACAGTATTCCAATGATAGTACTTAGTACTATTGGCCACTGGTTGCTATCTAACGCCGTATTTATAATTGTGTCTCAAGGCTGTAAGTGAAAGCAATACCAATATCATTACAGAGCCTGACTAACCGTATGATTTTCTCGTGGCAGCGTACTTCAGAGATATGCATGGAGAAGGATCTGCGAGCGACCCGATCAGTTTGTCTTCAGACGCTGTGGTTTCTATTGGCACAGCGTCACTGCCAGTTCTGGTTCTGACAATCCTTGGCCCCATCGCATTGTTACTGCCTGTCCTACTATCAAGAAGAATCCTGCCGGGCTATATGCCTGTGGTTGGGTCAAACTCTCTAGCGATATCAGCAGCCTGCCGTGTTTCCCCGCTGGCAAAAGTTCCTAAAGGTGATGGAAATGAAGTTGACGCCAAAACGTGGAAGCAAAAAGCCACGGAGCTTCAAGATCTCTTAGCGGTGGCCAATCAGCATCGAGAAAGCGAAGGAGACCCTGCCGGGATGAAGAGTATGGTTCTTTACCCCTTAAAGTGGGGTGATGTTAAGATGCCGGAGGACTGGTATAGTGAGATGGGCCACGAGGCGAACGATGTTGGTCATCTTAGCTTTGGGACCGTGGCCGATGACCCTCAGCCTCCCAAGGACGGCCGTTGGTACAGATGAAAGGGAGCAGGAAACACAATTGCAGGGGCCAGCGACCGCAGCGACTCCAGCAACCGCAGCGACTCCAGCGTCTGATACTTGATCAAAGTTAAACCCCAATCGAGAAGTTGTTTGAATAGCCGGTATGACTAAGGAAATCATGAACATGAGGAGAGCATGATGGCATTTGGTCAATCTGGACGTTGCGTTCGCGTAATGATAGCCAGCCCTGTTCAAGTTGCCATCCGGAATGAATAGTGGACAATGAATTAGTAGAGACGAATCAAATCAATCAAGCATCCACAAATAAATGTGGTTGGCGAGAGCTGCACCTCTGTCTTGGGTGAAGGCATTCCGGGTTATCAAGCCTCGGGCAACTCGTCCGATTGTCGGTTGAGATCTACTGTACGGTAGCATCACCTAGGTTCAATTCAGCAGGTCAGTTCAACTTCATCCAGCTTGCGGGGTAACAGGGGGATGCCTACGAATACTGCTTCGTTGCCAAGACACAACAACCCCATATGCCAAGAATCCCCTTGATACGATATCGGAGTGCCATAACCGAACTTGAGCGAAGCAGGATGCGACTCAAAATTCCACTTTATTATTCGTTCATATTTACTAGAGTATGTCTCGTCTTTTGGATGGACATGAGGCACGAGCTGCTCGGATCTCGCAACCATGCAATCTTTACTGAAATCCACAATCGCCATTCTCGCGTCAAGCACTCTGCTGCACTCATGTGTCAGTTGCCAAGAACTGGCGGACCAAGTCTTTGCTGCCATTGACTCCCGAAATGATGGTCTAAGAACACTCAACACAGAGGTAAAGCAATTATCATCAATTGACTGCAATTTCAAACAAACATGACTACTGTTGCCTATGCTTACTGACAGAATCATAAAGATTTGGGAGAATCCCGAAATTGGGTACCAAGAAGTCCACGCACATCAGGTTCTCACCGACTACCTCGAAGAGCAGGGGTTCAAAGTCACTCGCAGCGCCTACAACTTGAGCACCGCCTTTAGAGCCGAGTTCTCCAACGGTGAAGGACGTGCCGTGTCGTTCAACTCTGAGTTCGACGCTCTTCCGGGTTTGGGCCACGCTTGCGGGCATAACCTCATTGCCACCGTCGGTGTTGCCGCGGCAATCGGTGTGAAGGATGCACTTGAGAACGGGGGCGTGAAAGGCTCAGTGGTGTGAGTCCGCTTGCCATCCAATCAGTACAGTGAACTGACAATGATGTTGCAGCCTTTTAGGTACTCCTGCGGAGGAAGGGGGTGGTGGCAAGGTCAAAATGCTTGAGGCTGGCGCATACGACGGCCTTGATTGCAGCTTGATGGCTCATCCGGGAAACTCTGACTATGCTGCTTGGGGCAGAACCCTGGCGTCTTGGCGAGGCAACGTCTCTTGGACCGGAGGTAAGTTACCGTTACATTGAGCTCTTCTTGATAACTTTCGCTCACCGTGGCTCTTTGACAGTTGCTGCACATGCGGCCGCAGCCCCGTGGGCTGGTCAGAATGCTCTGGACGGCTTCGTCGCTGCTTATCAGATGGCCGGACTATTCCGCCAGCAACTTCAACCTTCGGACAGAATCCATCATGTCGTCACAAAGGGATGGTCCGTAGCAAACATCATCCCGGACTACATTGAAAGTCAGTGGGGTGTGAGAGGAAACACTAGGTAGGTTCACCATCACGTGTCCATCTCTTTGGAGCTTGCAGTAGACTTACTGTCAGACCACGACGTGATGTCGTCCTCGACCAGATTCAGTCTATCCTGTACGCGTCCGGCAACGGGACGAACACTACTGTGGAGATCACTCCATTCCAAGACTACTGGGACCAGAACCCCAGTTTCCAACTTGCAAGCACTTTCTACCAACACCAGATGAAGTACCTTGACCCGGCCAATGACCCGAAGACGGCCAACTTCACCGTATCTTCCCCTGAAGACTCACGTCGAGATGGAGGGGCCTCCGCGTCCTCTGATCAGGTACGTTCATATAACGCATGTGTTGAATAAGACATCTTCTGAACTGCGGTATACAGGGTAACGTGTCTTGGTTCCTTCCGGCTATTCAAGTTGGCTTCCCCGTTGGTGGAGGTGCTCCCGTACATAACGCTGGCTTCCGAGAGCTCGCCGGAACGGTACGTTGTTGTTTTTGTTGAGAAGCACAACGTTTGTGAGATCGCTGATCAAGATTCAGGACTTTGCCCACGAATCAGCCATCCAGACTGCCAAGATTCTAGCCTTGACCGGTCTCGAGGTGTTGCAGAATGAGACCTATGCGGAGACCATGTGGGAGGAGTGGAGAGCTATGATCGAAGAGGTGTCGGTCTCCGTATAGACAACATCAAACTTACATAAGATGGAAGTGACAGCGCGTGCTGTAGTGCTCATGTTGGCCGAGGCATCCTGAAAGAGGAATAGAACATTATGACTGAGCAGCAATAGGTCGAGAGAGAGCCTTGACGAATTTCGAAAACAATGGCAGCGATCGTTTCACTCATGCACTTTCTCCTATCCCGTTCTCGGCGATGCCGGCGTAAATTGGATTTTCTCTGACCATCATCCCGCACCACGAATCAAATCAAAAGCGATGCGCGTTGCAATCCTCCACCAGAGTCAATATTCTCACTCGTGTGGTCCAGGCTCCCTATGTTTCTACGCCACTCCCTCCTCGCTTGCCAGTGCAATCAACCCATGAGTCACGGTTGCGTTCTCCCACCCAACCTGACTGATCTCGGCAATGTTGATGCGGTATGCAACTCCATCGGATCTGCGTGCAACTTGCAATGCAACTTGTTTCTTCTCGAAATCTGGAGGTGCCGTGTTTTCTGCGATAACTACAAATTCGTACTCTCCGCTCTTGCTTGCACCAGCAGCAAAGTTTTCTTTGCATCGGCCAGTTTCGCCTACTTTTTTGCCATCAGAGTCAATTATGTGCTGGACATAGTATGCGTGCTGGTTTCTCTCAAGCGGGTTCCAGCCAGGCTGCCAGAGGTCTGACTTGATGGGCCCCGTCACTCGAAAACGCGCCGAGTCGGCCCAGAACAATAGAATCTGATCTTCCGGTGTTCTATCGAGTACTTCAGTCGTCAAAGCAGGATAGTGATCCTTGACCACATCGAGGAAAACTGCAGAGCTTCCTCTTGCGACAGGTGGGTTTTTAGGATTATCCAAGAACGAGAGGCGGACTTGAACTAGTCTCAATGGTTCGCGTCTCAGAATGTAGCAAGAAATCACGGGATCCAGCCTTTGTATGGTCAGTGATGTTAACCATTGGGTTTCCTGGCAGAGCTTACCCGGCTTCAACATGGCGATCTTCAATCGTCAGCCCAATAGGGCCTTTCCAGCCGATCCAACTCCAACTGGGGAATGAGACCTTTTTCTTAAGAGATGTCGTCGGGAGAGTAGTAAGGGCTGAACGCCTTCTCACCCCCTCCAAGTTTGGTTCCCAGCACAAGCCGAGTTCGAATCTTGAGGTCGGAAGGCCCCATAAGAATTGCTCTCCGGACATCTCCTGTGCCTGTTGAATAATAGCTGAGAAGGCATCGTAGGCATCACCTTCCCCAGTGAGCTCTCTGTTCGAATAATCACGCGCGAGACGATGCAGTTTGTGCCACATCTGATCGCCATCCATCTCAGGTGCGTACCGGTCTCTGTACGCCGAATTGAGATAGGATTCGGAACCTGACAAGTTGAACCATGAGACAACAGCGGATGCCTCTGAGTTGGTCTCCTCACTCCAGTGTGACTCGCAACAGGCCCAGGTGATTTGCTCGTCAAGAAACGTGATGCTCCTTCTTGAGACGGCTCGTTCTTGCAATGTCCAACCCCTGGAAGACCATGTCGTGTCCGAGGTAAAGTTTGAAAATCGGCTTGATGTATGGCTCAGCGTGGATAACAGGCATATCCCTTCCTCGGATTTCGATGTTCTTATGGTGATCTCCTTCTGCAACCGGTTCCGGTCAGTTGAAATACCAGGCAAACCGGCGTGAGAGTCTTTGCCGCTGGCAGCAATGATGTTGAGCAAGGCATTCACGTATGTGTCCGCCATCTTTCCGATCTGCACTGCTTTGTCTGCATCGCTATCCTGAACAATACAGAGAGCATCTACCCATATGTATCGAGTCCCCATGTCTTTCGTGAATGTGCAGGCATCTTCGATGGTCCGAGAGAGGCGGCCTTTGAGTGAGTTCTCTTTTTGAAGCTTGTTCCGATTCGCCTCGAATAACATCTCTTTCTGGGGGGTTTTACCCCAAACGTAGCTCAAAGTCAGGTAGTTCAGATCTTTGAGTAGTACGTCTGTGCGTTCCACAATTGCCATCGTTTCGACATCTATGAGACGAAACACAGGCATATATCCAGGCATATGTCCAGGAACTGGATGCCTTCGATTTCATGTCAGTCTTTACTGAAAGCCAGTGCAGTAACATGACGCACTGACCTGGAGCCTCCAGCTATGCCTTGGTTTCCGTCTTGATCTTCGTCTTGATCTTCCGCTCTTGCAAAACCACACGATGAGGCGTGGTTTTCCTTGCAATGTTTAAGCCATTGAATCGGAAGACGCATGTCCACCTTAGATGGTCTCTTTCTCCCCACAAAGAGGATATCGCCTGGATCATGGGTGCCTCCAAAGAAGGCTTTCACGTTGAAGGAATCCTGCGATATTGCGGCATCATACGTCTGAAAGCAGTGAAATATCCGCTTCCAAGATGCCTCCTTGAAACCCACACGTCCAGGATTTAGTCCGTTTTTGGTGTTATCGTCGAACGGAATGAAGTAAATCGCCAAACGTCTCATGATAAACTCCGGATTCGCCTCTCCGGGCTGAGCTCCTTCCCAAGCAGTGCCCTTCGGAGGTTGTAAGGCCCCGGCAATGTCACATGTAGCATAGCACAAGGGATCCGTCAAGCCAACACCGGCCAACTTCCTGAGCTCATCATTGTACTGATCAAGAACCTCTTTGGCAGCTTCGCAAAAGACACAGGTGGCCGCCGAGGCACGGATTCGGCTCGTGCGACCCAGGGTCCAACTCGGGTCGCCGTCGATAGGCTGGCCAAACTTGAGGGGAAATCGATCCTCAGTAGGCCTTTCGCCCGCGTTGAGAGAGTCAATTTCCGCTGCAGTAGGGTTGCGAAGGTAGCTAAAGTCGATCAGCGAGCAATACTCGCAAAGCTTAGTGACCGAAGCCATCTTGTCCGGAATACTTCTGAGGAGGTAGGAAATACTACCGAGTTATGTTCTTGTGCGGAGAAAGTTGCAAAAGTAATCAGGCTCGAGTCTAAGCAGGCTGTGAGCGATATATGGGTCGGGCAACGAAGCTCCACGAATCGATATCTCATTGGTAATCTGGAGTGGACACATGAAGCCATTCACTTGGCACGCGGCCTGATTTGTCGCCTGTGTAACATGCACCTAGGAAACCAATCGGAAGGTCGGAAATATAGTCATCAAATGCTCCATTGTTTCTCAAAGTATGTAACTGAAGGCGAGAACAAAATTAACTACATGAATCCACCCAGATGAGCCCTTCAGCGAGTCACACAAGTACCGTCAACCTCGCGCCTCCCATCCGGTCACCACACCCCTTCTGATCTCGTAAAATTCGTAAGTCGTCAAGACTTAGCCGACGGTGCAGCCACCGAGGCGGACGCTCTCAGCGTACATCTCGTAGGTGTCGGCGTTGGCGGCAGCCCTGGTAGCAGACAGAGCCTGGGCAGCGACGTAGCCGTAGCCGTAGTCGCCGGTGCCGTACAAGTGGGTCATCTCATGGAGGATGCTGCCGGCGCGGTCGTAGTCGTCGCCGGAGCACTGAGAAGCAAGCTCGGGGAAGCCCCAGAAGCCGTTGTTGGGGCAGGGGACGATGACGTTGTCGTCGGGGACGGTGTACAGCAGGGCGGAGCCGTCGGTGCAGTCGCTGTAGGTGTCCGTGCAGGAGATCTTCGGGGAGGTGGTCTGGACGCCGGCAACGTCGTTGTAGATGGTCTGCACCTTGGACACGACGGAGGTGGACTTGAACCAGGTGGTGTAGTAGTAGGAAGAGGTGCCAGCAGCGGTGGAGGCGGCCTTGGCCATGGAGATGGCGTTGCTGACGCTGGTCTTCAGAGCGGAAGTCTGAGAGGCCGAGCAGGAGGAGTAGGTGATGGAGCGCTTCTCAACTCGGGAGCGGGTGGGGCTGTTGCGGCGGGAGATGTGCTGCTCGGCGACAACGGCCTGGTCGGGAGTGACCGCGACCTCGCCGGAGGTGACATCGTCGCAAGAAGCGAGGCTCTTGAAGTCGGTAGGCGCCTCGGCGCCAGTGGCGTAGCGGAAGCCCTGAATGGCGGTGATCTTGGCCTCGTCGATGCCCTCGAGCTTGTAGCTCTTGGCGGCGTTGACGGAGACGGTGACAGTCTCGCCAGCATCGATCTTCTGGAAAGCGCTGGCGTCAAGGCCCTGGCGCTTGTAGTTGACGTAGATACCCTGGAAGGGAAGAGCGTTGCCCTCTGCGTCAAGTTAGTCCATGTTCTGGGTGTAGCTCTGCCCATCGCCGGATTGGAGGTGTAAACATACCGGCATCGGTCACAAGGAGATCCTTGGTGGCATGGTCGCTGAAGACCGTGTTGCCCTTGAAGACCTGGAGAGTCTCGGAGCCGGTGTTGGTGACAGCGACGCTGACAACGTGGGCATCAGAGTTGGAGATCTGGACCGAGAGGGGGCAGGTGGCCGAGGCGGCACCAGCCAGGAGGGCGACGGAGAGGGCTTTGGCAACCATGTTGATCGATGGACTGGAGTGTCGAGCGGTGGCTGGAGAGACAAGACAAGAACCTGATGTTGAGCGAACACTTCTTCGCTATATATACTCGATGTTCCCCATTCTTGGCATTCTCAACAGCCGTTCACGAACATGGGCGCAGATAAGGCGTACCGGAGGCATTGCCACGTCAAGGAGGTGAATCCACGTTGAAAATCATCATGGTGCAGCTTCTCAGCCGTTGAGAATCGTAGGGCCGATGCAATCTAAGCTTGTTTTGGAAGGAGACGAATCAAGGGTACCCTCATGCAAGACATATGGGCCAAGCATGAGTTTATTCAAGAAAAGCTTCGGAAAGTCCAGCCAGGACGAGGAGGTGCGGACGCACGGTGGGTAGCATGCATGGGACAAGCAACCAAGCAAATCAGTGGGGTGGGTAGCGATGCATCTTGTGATGTCGGCATGTGGGCGAAGAGAAGAGACGGGAGCACGGGAAGAGGAGCAATTGGGCGTTTATGTTGTGGTTCCACGCTTTCCGCTAAGCAAGTTAGGAAGGCTCATTGCGGCGGTTCATCTCAAAAATGGTAGGTGCCATGGGGTAATATCCAGGGGCAGGGAGCCAGGGACCAGCGGTCGAATCATCGGCATGGATTACATATAAGATATACACAAACAGGCGGAGTATTGGGGTTCTGCGGCGATGTCCGTTATCAGTGCGCTTGATTCAAGGTTATTTTTTCAGTGTTCCCGTCAAAAGCTCCTTAAAGTTAATCGCGGTAGCTCCCGGCGCGGAGCCGGGAATAGCGACGAGATGCCGAGGCAACGAATTGCTCGGATATGCCCCGTTTGTGTGGATGTTGTAGCCTGGGTTTGTGTCTTGCCAGCGCAACCTTTAGTCTTCACTGATGGCTTGTTTTCGCAGGCAAAGAATGCGTTGAATAGAACAGTAACTTGCAATTTGGAAGAGTGGATTAAATGTTGAACGTGTCAACAATGTGGGCTGCAATTGGCGAGTGGTAAAATGGGATGAACCTCGGCCATCAACGATCCTAGTCAGATGAGGGGACAGGCCAGAAGTGAAAGCACAGCCGGCGTAGGTCCACTTGAGCGATGTTTTTAGCAGTTCGGGAACGGCCGATCATACCAGAAAGGAAACTGAGATGGGATAGAAGCGAGGGCCTGAGGATCATGCCATGTCGGCGCTTCGCCGTCACCGACTCAGGAAGCTTGTCCATCATAGCACTGACGGCACTAAATAGTGAACATCCCCACCCATTTTCAACTGCTGATCCGTTCTTATTGCTCGTCCTATCATCATGTTTGGAGCCAGCGACTCAGAAAATTCACATTCACTTGTTCCAACGCTAAAAAAGCGCGACGTGTTCTAGACAGACAAGAGAAACATTCAAACGACGTTCAATTTAGGTCCGCATCCTGTATTGTGGGTTGAACATGGCAGTCCAGCCAAGGGCGGCCAAGATTCTTGGCTGGCGGGATGTGATCGCCAAGGGTCTTGGCCAGATGCATCAATCGTCTTGGCCGCATGACCCCCGGTTCGCTGGATCATTTGCGAGAGAAGTAGCAGAGAAAACAGGATTTGAAGTGACGAATGGCCCTCAATGGCTATTTCCAGACTGTCTTGCCGTGCCTTTCATCGTTTCACAGGCGTGGAGGACCCAACAACAATTTTGCGACCGCAAACATATTGCTTCACGCCAAGACTGAATTCAATCTGTCGAGATCAATTTGATGCGATTGAGATACAATTGCCAGACATACCCAAAGTCGGCTCCTGTGTAGGCAAATGAGTGTCCACTTTCTTACACAAGGTCTACATTTGTCGTCGCATTAAAACTCTTACCAATTGAAATCAAGGTCCTCCAAATTTAGTTCATCGTGAGAGATCACCCACAGGTCACATGTACAAAAAAATATAACGATAATTGTCATTTGCCAGGAGACAAGACATACACCAAAGCACTCAACCAGTACACACGGAAGGCTAACAGCTCCCAGCTTTGCTTAACATGGTTCCATGTTTCATACCTCGCGTACACGAGAGAGGACGCGCGTGCCAACTTGTTTTCCAATCTCACCATTTCGATTTTGTGATATATTAGGTAGAGTGTCAACACCAGAATTAGTTGCCTTCTGTACTGCTACTTTACAACCGGTCTGCTGTTAATTTATTCAGCTGGAGACGGCATAATAATCAATTACCTATTTCTTGAAACGGTGGTTGCGACAGTAGCTCACTTCCAGTCATTACGCGGCTGTTTAAGAAACAGTCGCATGCTCATTGGTCTATCACTGGGACATTTTCAATTGACTGCGCCAACAAGCCTTGGTCTAACACCGAAGTGTTGGTCTTCAGTGTATGGTGCTTCCGCTATTGAAACGTTCCTTCACTCTTGTCATAGTCACAAATCATTATCTAAATGTGGCAAAACCATCTCAAAGTTGGCAATTGCCGAAACATATTATTCTATTTGTCTGTTGACTCGGTTCAAATGACTTCTAGTACTTGTTTAACCATGGCGATCGCCTTCTCTTCCTCTAGACGTCTAGCAACAAGTTGTAAGCTAATGGGCATTCCATGAACGTCATTCGGGTCGTCTGAGACAGCAGTTAGCGATGATAGATGGGGCTGTTTTGTTTTGACACTCACATTCTGCATGAACTGCTTCGCAGACTGGCCCCAAAGGCGTCTCTGCCGAGCTGGGTGCGTCCACACTCTTGTCCGCAGACAAACCAGTAGGGAAAGACACGCAAGAATAATCGAGGACGTTGTAGACACCGGTATATCCCACTGCATCATCATTAGCACCTTTTCCTCACTTCTGGTTAAAGGGCACAACTCACCATGCTTGAAAGTGCCGTTCTTGACACTTGTAAACGGCGTTGTTGGGCACAGAATGGCATCAATACCCGCCGCAACCCACCGATCGAGGTACCTCTTCTGGAACGCCGTCCTCTGCAGGTGCAGCTGCCACATGTCGTATGTGCCGAGCTCCTTTGCCTTGGAGTAAGCCGCCATCTCAGGCCTCCACGGTTCTTCCGTCTTGTCCAACTCCTTCTTGATGGAAATACCGCCGTCCGCGACGAACATGCGGTCGAGCAGGCTCAGTCCCTCCTTCTGGTCCTTCGGATCCCACTCAATGATCTCGTGGCCCGCCGCCTTGAGCTTCTCGACGGTCTCGCGGAGGGCGCGTGCGACGGGAGGAGTCGGCCTGACCATGCCGTCGTTCCACATGACAGCAATCTTAAGCTTGCTGGGGAGTTCGACGTCCCTCCACGCGATGGGAACACATCGAGGATCATATTGCCATGTTTGGCGGTTGACGACGGTCTGGCTGTAGAGCTCGAGGTCGGTGATGGTTCGAGTCATCGGGCCGTTGACGGACTGGACTGCCTCTTGGCCGCCCATGCCGGATCGGCAGCCGAGAGTGGGGAAGCGGCC